GATAAGATCCGGTTCTTTGCAGGGAACGTTCTTTCAGGAAAAATACATACATACACAAAAATGATCCAACAAGCCATAGCATCAAAGTTTGGCCAGCAAACCCTCATGTCACACACGGGCAAAGGCCTTAGAAATATCAAGCGCGACAGCGCTTGATATAAGGGCGCCTGTTGATCTTTGTTTCCGAAAGCCATATTGGTGATCTCTCAAGATGTTGAAGCATTCCCAATGAGTTTTGATATCACTGATAGTAAAGCGAGTGGTCTATAGTTATTTGGAAGAGTTTTTTTGACCTTTTGTAAATAGGCTGAACGGGCACTTCATCATGACCAGACGCCTTGTTGATATTGAGCTGTTTCAAAATTCGCCTGACCATACATTGTCGAGAAGTAATTTCCAGCATTGTGGATTCTAGTGTGGGAATAGTGGGTGGTGCCCTTCCCAGAAAATCGACTGTGGAGTGGGACGCAAATTGTTCAGCTGGTAGATTTGCTTTTTCTATGGCTGTTGTTGCAATTGAACCATCCGCTTGTGTTAGTGGTGGAATTACGGATTTTGAAAAGTTCTGATTAACAGCTTCAGCTACCGACCAGAAGGATCTAGATCCGTTGGGATTGGCAAGTAGATCGTCAATATCGATTTCCTCCAGACCGTCTATGGAGAAGTCAATATCTAAGGGAAGTTCGCCCAAAAAAGCATAGACCTCATCTGAAGTTACTTTATTCAGGTTCATTATTCAGTCTGAAAAAGGAATAGTATTTATAAATAACGTTCAAAAGCCTAGTGGTTCCTTTTGATACCACATCGTTTTCCAACCTGTGTCATATACCCCCTAAATTTTTCACCCAAATAAGATCTTACATTATAATTTATGATACTGATGAAACATGAAACTAAATCTGTTTTTCAAATGTCCAGTTATAAACATTTAATTTGATATATGGGACACTTTGTATGTTTACATACCCAAGATGTTTTCTTACCCTAAGTGAACCATCTGTTCAACACATTTAATTTACTGTGCTCTTCGGCTCATTTAAACCTCTTCTAGCCATTTCCTGATCGAATGCGGAAATAATCACAACGTTCGGCTTGTCGTCGCTGCACTTGTTAAAACAGAATACTCCTTTGTTTACTGAAGTTGTGATAGTATTTTTTCGTTATATTTATTTTCGTTACTTGATCGAAGTCAGGTTTTTACAATGTGTTCTATATTAAACTATATTCCAATCCGAGGTTCAGTAAATGTACACAAAAGCAGGCGAATGTAATTGTTTGCCAGGGCCGCAATGAGGACTAAATATTAGTGCAATGTAGTTTCAATGTACACACATCGGAAAAATCTAGGGATATTTTAAAAATGGCAATAATCTTTTTTTAGATCGCTTTAGGAAAAAAAAAGTTGACGGGTGATTATTAAACGAATGTAACTTACAACAAAATTTATTAAATGGTCAAAAATACTGAGTGCGCATATAAGCAAAACTAAAAAAAAA